AATTAACTAATAATAATAACAGTAATGTTAAAATTGTTATTATTGTTATTAAAAAAACAGTAACAATGACATCAGTAACACTTGTGTGCATGATATGTTTAAAAAATGTTTTTTTTTTTTCTAATTTATAAAATAAAATGATAATTTTTAGTATTCTTTGGTTTTTCTTTAAAATGTTTAAAAGATTTTGATGCATTATGAAACATTTTATTGTAGGGTTAGACATAATAAAAATATTTAATTATAATTAAACTAAAGGATTTCAATTGCATATCAATTGTATATTCAATTGTATATGTTGTAGCTATTCCTTGTTTTGGTTAAAAGACTGTATTTCAATTCTTTTTTGTAACAAATATTTTTACATATTGTTATTCAAAAGTTAATGTGGTTTTTTTAAAAATTAATTACTTCTTTTATGTTACCGCTAATTAAAAAATTATAAAATGATAAAAAGTAGCTTAATTAAAACCGCTCTAGGCGTACGTAAATCGCTCTAGGCGTAACGCTTTAAAACAAGGCTACAACAAACGAGAGAGAATTTTTAGTAAAGGTTATTTGCTGTTTTATTCTTTTGTTCAACACCTTAGTTGCCGAAAGTGGTTAGCTTGCAAGGTTTCTAAAGTGCATCGTTGTGGTTCAAATCCTATCACTTGACCTTTTTTTTTTATCAATTTTTTAAAATATAAAATAAAATTTTATATATGCATAATGTTAATATAATATATACATATTATATATAAAGATATTATATACTATAACAAATGACAGAGAGAGAATTTTTAAAAAAGCTTAAAATTTCTAACAACATCAAAACACTGGGAGAAATTTGTTGTGCATATGTCATGATAGAGATACTTATCTTATTAATGTGCTGGTAATTAGTGCTGGTAAAACGTCCATCCACTACTCTAGAAGGTGCTGCTGTGGAGGCAAAACAAAAAATAAAAAAGGCCCGTTGCTAGCCAAAACATTGTGTTTTAATATAACAAAATATGAGATTTTAATTATCATATATTTATATATATTAATTCTCATGAAGTCATGAACTATTACTGGAGTCACACTGTTGAAGTTGATATAAATTAGATATTTAAGTTGTTTTTGAATTCATTTTGAATTCATTTTGTATTCATTTTGAAGACTATGGACTGAAAAAATTGAAAGATCATCCCTTTAAGAAACAACATAATTGTTATTAACATTTAAGATTTATTGTTTGTTAAAATTTCTAACTATTCTAAACTGCTTGCAGAGCCCTGTATGTTGTTTAATGATTCAAACTTGTACAAAGTTTCATTTCAAATTTAAAATATTGAATCAGATCTTCTCTCTATTTTCTATGTTTCTAAAAACAATGGGCATACATTATTGGAACTCTTTAGCTAAGGGATTACTTTTTTTTAGCTAAGGGGTTACTTTTTTTTGCTTTTTTAAGAACTAGTTTAAGCTTCTTTTTATGGGGAGTCTACACAGAAACACAATATTCAAGACGTGGTTCAACATAGGTAGCAAATAGCCTGAAAATTTCAGATCGTTTCAGATCATTTTTTGAATGTTTGGTTTAGCATACTAATAGCATTGTTAGCCAGTTTTTGAGGTTGCATTTAGCTTTTGAATCTGAATTAATAGTAGTGTCGTTTATTCATTAGAATTATCCATTCATTCAACTTATGATCAAAGATTATTTAAATCATTTATTTGCAGATGCAGCTAGTTATTATCAATATATTAGAGAATCTTCAATTTTTTAAAAATGATTAGCTATATAAGAAGTAGGAAAAAGTTGATTTAAACTTTCTTGCTTTAAATTAAGTTTTTTTAATATGAGTTTAGAAGAAAAATTTTTTTTTTAAATCTTTATTAAAATTAAATTTTATGACAGAATCAGATGGAAATAATTCAAAAGATTTTAAATTTATACAAATTTTTAAAAAACTTTCTGAAAAAAATGATTACTTTAAAAAAACTTGTAATTAAAAACTTGAGCAAATAATATAGTATAAAGAATTATAGTTTTAGATGCTACTGCAAAAAAATTAGGAATTAAATGTAAATGTTAGACAGGATGTTGATGGCTAAAAAATTTATAAATGACAATAATTCCTAAGAGCAAGTTTTGTAATTGTAAAATGACTTTGTTTTCAATAGTAAATTTTAACTTGTTTAAAATGTTTAAAAAAAAACTTTATATTTTTATAATTGTTAAAGGGATCCCTAAATGCTATAAAGATATGATCTCATATGAAAGAGCATAAAAAAAAAAAATGTTTGATGTATTGATGTTTGATGTATGATTATTTTTTCTAAAACGTAATAATGAACGCACACTAACAAATTTAATTTTCAAAAAACGCTTTTCTTCGATTAAAAAAGATGCGTCTTGTTCAAAGTTTATTGACTCTATTGCCTCAAAAAACTAATGTTTGTACGTCAAATTAAACAAAGTAGACAAAATGTCATCATTGCAAACGCATTAGTTGGTAATTAAATTTAAAAGTAAATTTGTTTTTTTTTAACTAACACATAATTACTTACAAGAATAAGTTTTGTAGCATTTTGTAAAAATATATTTGTATATTAAAATTTTTAAAATAATTTTTGTTTATATATTTGTGTTATAAGGGCAGTTCCACGGCCAAAAATGAATAGAAGTCAAATTTTAAACTCTTTTTAGTCAGTTTTTAACAAATGAATATTAATGTAGACACATGAAAGTTTATTTAAAATATTTCCTTAGTACAAAAATAAAATTATTTCAGTCATTTTTATGGTTTCGAAAGTGACTGTTATTCTTATTTTCGCTTGATAAAAAAAAAAATTATTGTAAAATGTTTTTGTTAAATTAACATTTATGTTAATTTAACAAAAATTTTGCTATATTTTTTTGGTTCAAATTGATAAGGTTGAATAGACATTTTATTAGAAATTAAACTAAGACAAGGCTCGAATTTACGCAAAAAAAATCTAATTTCTAATAAAATCTAATTCAAAAAATTTGCTCATCCCTCCCCCCCCCCCCTTCCTCTCTCTCATAGCTCGCGCCGATGTGCGGTAATGAGGGGAGGGGGTTGCGTTAGTATAAAGTTGTCTCTTTAGCATGTAACTGTTATCTTTTAACATACTATCTCTCATATTAAAATGTTATCTTATGATTTTCTTGTTTGGCATAGTTTAAAATAGCTTAAGTTTTGTTATAATTTAAGATTAATTTATAATTTAAAGTTGAAGTTGCAGTTACAGTGTATTTAATACTATTAATTAAGTAATTATTTTTACTTAACATGATACTTAAAAAAGTAAAAGTAAAAAAGTAAGAATAAAAAGCAAACATTACTATAATTCAGTGGCGGATCCAGGGGGAGGATGGGGATATGCATCTCCTCCCCCACCAGAATCTGAAAGTTTTGAAAATATCATAGAAATTGAGGACCTTGTTTTTTGCTTCTTTTTTTTTTAGGAGACGCAAACATGGTACAAAATTCAAAAGTATTTTAACACCCTCATTCACCAAAAATTCCTTGATTCGTCACTGCAATATTTAAACCACTTTAATTAGTCATAGAAAACTGTTTAATACAATCACGCTGACGATAAAACACATGTTTTTAATGAGTGTTTAATTGTTATTGTAAAAAGTTATAAAACAACAATAACACAAAAAGTTGTCTTTAAAATATAAATAGCTTGTTTTAATGTAAAACAACTTTGTCACACTGTTTTGTTGCTGTTTTATACAGTTTAATAACATAAAATGTGTTTAAAATAAAAGAAGCAAATAAATGAAATTGTTTTAATTAATAAATTACAAAATTATCGTCAATAAATTAAAAAACATCGTCAAAAACTTAATAAAAATTAGATACCACATTTTCTATCATTTATTGTTTCTTGAATAAAGGACAAATAAAAGTTTAAATATAATTAAGTTTTTCATTTAAATGGTTTTTAAGTTGATGTTTTTATTCAATTTTTTTATTTCAAATTTTTTTCCAATAAAAAGTGAAACAAAAAAATTTGGTTTAATAAATCGAATTATACTTCATGTTTAAAATAAGGCTTAAAAACATTAAAGTAAAAAAATTGCTGGTTTTAGCATTTTTATACTGTTTGAAAAAAAAAAACTAATAAAAAAGAATTAACTAATAATATATTAATTAATAATTATTAGAATTAATATTAATAATAATTAATTCTTTTTTATTGGTTTTTTTTTCAACCAGTATAAAAATGCAAATAAAAGTCAGCAATTTTTTTGCTCTTACGTTTTTAAGCCTTATTTATAACATGAAGTTTTGATAAACAAAGATAAAAACCAGACTGTTTTGTTAGAATAAAGAAAAAATTCGAATTAGCGTCTTTTCCCTTTTCAACTTTTCGCTTTAACGACCTTTTAAAAAATATCCAAGCAGAGATTTAAAGTAATTTAAATTCAAAAATGTTTTACGTTTACATCTATTCATCTATCTATTCAGAATAATAAATTTTGTGTGACGTTCTTTATGATAAAAACGTTACTTTTAAGAATTGCTAAAAAAAGTGCTAAGCTAGAAAAAAAGTAATTAAATAAAAAAAAAAAAAAAATTGCGAAAAGATTTTTTTTAAGCAATCGCTTAATGAAAAGCAATCGCGATTGCGATACGCTTAAGCCCTGTAAGACTTTTTTATAAGTTCTAAACTATTTAAAACTATTACTTAATAACTTTATTTTAACGACGTCTTTCAACCGAATTCTATTACACTGTTTTTGCAAAACTAATTAAAAAAACTTGATTAAAACTTAACTATATTTTACTAATTTTTCGATATAATTTTTTTAAATATTGGTGCTTTACAAATTTGGGGTTGGTTGGGTTTTTTGGCTATTTGTAGTGAGTCCTTTTTTACTGCAGTATGGAATAGGAGTAAGTTGCGGGGTAAAGCATAAGTGGCGATGATGTTTGTCTGACAGGATAAACTAGTTATAAATGCTGATCCTCATCGAAATGCCAGTAATAATAGACGCGACTCTGAGGAGATGTTTATTACTTAATCACTACACAGATTATGTTTACACATTAGCATTAATGTTTTTTTTTCCATTATTAGGCCTTTCATTGTTGATAGCATATTTTTTATTTTGATTGGTTTTTTGTTTTTGTCTGGTGATGTATTTGTTGTATACACGCTGCTTACATTTTTATTATTTTTAAGTGTTCGTATTGGTGTTTATAAAACAAATTTTTTTAATTTTTTTAATTTTTTTTTTAATTTTATTGTTATTATTGTTGAGTACTGTTTTGGGTGTATAGCCTGTCTTATTTATTTTTAAATATTCCTCTATTAATCTTTATTTTCATTTTGGTAACTGTCAAAATATGCTTTTTTTCTTCTCTCAGACGTTCACTGCTCGTGTATACTGACTTTTTTTTTACTTTAAAATCGAAGTAGATATTCTAAAGTTGTTGTGGCGTACTAACATGATTTTTAACAACTAATAATCAAGTTTCAATGGTAAAAAAATAAAATCAAAATGGAGTTGTTTTTCATTGATTTCGGCAATTGTTTTTTTTTAGCATGCATTTATTATTACAATTTAGTGAAAAAGAAAAAAAAATTACATATTTTTTTTATGGTCTTTCAAATGAGATCATATGTTAGGAACACTTAGGGATCCTTTTAATTAAAAAGATTAATATCAATTCAACTCCTAAATTTCCAATATAGAAAAAGTTGCTAAGTAAGAAGCTGGTGATATGTGGATATTAACCCTTTCATGACAACTGATCTGTCCCACAGGTTGTGGAAATCATTTCTTAATGATGATTGACCCACCTGGCAGGTCATCAATATTTACTAAATTTGCTATCCTTTTTCTTCGGTATAATATGTTTGTTAAACCAGAATCTCCTTAGCTGTAAAATTTAAGCCAAAATAGAAGTTTGTGTAAAAAATGGCAAAAAATAAATAAACTACTATACAGATATAAATGAGTTTAACCTCATTAAAAGTTTTTAGCAAACATCCTTTTGCACTCATTTTATAAATGAGTGGTAACTGTTAATGTCTATCAATTTTGTTTATCATAACCAGGGTTGCATCCTAAAAATTGTTATTAAATATATCACACACAATAGAACTATGTATTGCAATGGAATATGTTTTTAATTTGATGTTTGAAAAAGTTCTCTAAAGTAAATCTGTTATTTTATTTTATCAATTAGAAATTTTGACTTTTAGATCTCTATATTAAAACTTAACTATCTTTTTTTCTTAGTCTTCAAATTAGACTAATTTTTTTTTCTTTAATCACAAATATGTGTTTAACTTCTGCAAGTGGTTTTTGTTATTTGATCTAAGGAGGAAAAAAAAATTATTGTTTTTATTTGTGATTTATAAATCAGATTATAACATACCCTCATTTTGCCAATTTAGTATTTTTAAATTTATTATATTATTTTTTATTAAGGCTAGAGATATGGTAAATGAAGTTGAGGAAGCTTTATCTTTTGGTAAGATTTTTTATATTAAAAAATAAATGTTATTTTTTAATTGTTTTATAAAACTGACTTTTTGTTTGTTTACTATTATATATATATATATATATATATATATATATATATATATATATATATATATATATATATATATATATATATATATATATATATATATATATATATATATATATATATATATATATATATATATATATATATATATATATATATATATATATATACATACACATTTTAAATGTCTTCTGCATAACATGATATTTTTCAAGTTTGCTTTTTTTGTATTCTTTGGATTATTCTAAAAATTAGTATAATCCAAATTAGTAAAATTAGTATTAGAGTTTTGTTTTGTATGTTTAAATATAAAATATGACTCATCATCAATGGCAAGTGAACAGTTTCTGAGTTTGCGACAAATTCATACACACTTAATCTTTGTGCGATCAGGAATTTTTTTTTTTTAATAACAAATGTTTGCTTTGTTTTTTAATGTATTTACGATGTTGGAATGATTACACTTGAACTTCATTGTCAATTTTCTTGCTAATGTTCCAAAGTGATTCAAAAGAATTTTCAGATGATTGATGTTCCTAGCATAATTTTTTATTTTTTGTCTGATCCTAGCTTATGAGGCGTTGGTTCTTTTATTATTCTTTCATTATTCTTCAACTTTACATAACATTTGTTGGTTCTTTTGGGGTGATTAAAGGTAATAAAATAATTTACAAAGTTCTTAGTTTTAGCATTTCAATAAACACTTGTTTAATTAAAACAGTTAGTTTAGTTTTGCAAAACCTTATATATTAAAAAATAAAACTTTTTTTTTTCTAAATAGATAAAACTTTTAGTAAAAGAAAATTAAAACTTTTTATGCAAACCAACAAATGAAGTTGTAAAATGAAGTTGTTTTAGTATGACATCATCAACAAAGTTTGCAAGGGTAATGTGGTGGTAGTGTAGTGTTAGAGTAGTGCTTAGAGTAGTGTTAGAGTAGTGCTTGCTTCTTAAGCCAGAAGTTCCCCCATGACATTTGTGATAGAACCACACTCAGACTGTTTCTATGTACAGTGGCCTCGTTTGTCAAAGTTCCCATTTTAGACTTGAGAACCCCTAATCTTGGGAAATATTCACTTCCCCAAGTGAATAGGGAAGCCTCCTTGATTGTTGTGTTTTTTTCAGTCTTGGGGAGCTGAATAATATAAAACTAGCGTAACAAAAAACGTACTAAAAAGATACTTGTATATATTGATTTACCTGTACACACCCACCCACACATATATATGAATTGTATTTATTACCGTAGGGGTAAATCGAATTGATGATTTTGATATTGAAGAGCTTGAACAAGAGTTATCAAAGTTGACTGCAACTAAGGGTAATATTGCTCATAAGAAATTTTTTGGTACATATTTACTAAACCTTTTTCAATAATTTTTTAGCGCTATATATAATTTCATTTGTTTAATTTAATTTAGATGAAGAAACAGTTGTTTTGCCAAATGTTCCAGACTTCTTACCCACAAAATCAAAAGAACACTTGAACAAACAAAAAATTGACTTGATTACTAGCTAAATTGAATAAAAAATCATGATTATAATTTAAAAAAAGTTCTTTTTGTGTTGTTCTAATTTTCTCTATTTTTTAGTTCAATAGTATTTAAATGCTCATTTATCAGTCTTTATAATTGAGTGAATTTATTATATTTTTGTTCAAACAAAGTTTTGCTACAAATTCATTTTATTTACTTTATCACATAAAAAAAAAAATTTTGTATTAAGAATTACAATATTTTAAGTTCAAAATTTGTCATTTAGCAACAAAAAAGAAATATTATTAAAAGTTATGTTAGTATTCATTTGTGTTTTTGTTATAATAATTATTATTATTCAAATATTGTGGAATGCAAAGACTTCTCCAAAAACAGAAATTTATCATTCAGGTGAAAGCAATATTATTAAAAAAATAATTGACGGCTGTAGTATTATTCATGAAAGGTAAGGTTGAATGGTTTTTAGTTCATAATTTTTTTTTGTGTGTGTTTTTTTTAATAAATTAACATAAAATAATAGATCATTAGATACGTACCCATTGATTGCACCCAACATAAGGTTTATTATACCCTACATTAAATCTTATTTTATTGAAATTACCAATAAAGTTAAAAAAAGGTTCTACAAAAACACTTTCTACAAAATTTATTTTGTATTGCTTTTTAGGTTTTTATATTGACTCGTTTTTCACCAATTTTTCAAAACATAAGGCAATTTTTGAAAACATTAAGCAATGCCTTTGAAAAATAAGGCAATACCTCAGAAACATTTAGCAATTCTTTAAAAGCATTAAGTGATTTCCTTAAAACTTTAAGCAATTCCTTAAAATCATATAAAGAAACTTATAACCATTTTAGTAGTTTAAATAAAATTTGAAAAAACAGATTTTGTTTGTTTATTCAGTTTTCATAACTAAAGTTTAAAATTGTTAAAAAAAGTTTAAAAAAGCTAAAGTTTAAAATTGTTAAAAAAAGTTTTAAAAAGTTTAAAATTAAAACTTATTCAGATTGATGTTAAAATTTAATCAAATCAATGTACAGAGCTCTTTTCAGCTTAATCTTAAAAATTATTAATTTGGATGTTAATTTATATTTTGTTCATTTTAGTTTGTCAATTTTAATATTTGGAAATTATTTAAGATTTATTAAGAATTATTTGCATGATTAAGCAACGTTAAGCAAGAAGAAACATGTGAACTAAGAACTCAGAAATACTTTATTAAGAACTATTTATGCCTTATGTAAACAGATTCAAAATATGTAAAATAAAAATCTATTTAGTGGTTTTGATTTTTCCAAAGTTGTTGTTAGAACTCTGAAAAGGTTAAATCATTTGTTTTTTGTGAAGAAAATTAGTTTCAATCTTCTTGTTATCTTTGAAGCAGACTTCCAAAACACTTTTATTTTAATTATTTTTTTGAGTTATTTTTCAAGACCTTATAACACATTTTTAAATTTCTTTAAATATTTCTTCTTCTAGGACCAATTTCGGAAATAAAGTTGCGTCAATAAATTAAGTACTGCTTGATTCTATGGGTTTTAGGTTGAATTTTAAAAGACATGAGGTTTTTCTATAGGTTATATTAATATGTAAATGTACAAGCTGAAATGTGTTGAAAATAAAATCGTAAGCATTCTTTCTTAGTCCAAAATTTATATTATCTGAAATCCAAAAAATAGTGTTTAAAAATTATATCAGTAATAATAATAGTAATACAAACTGCTGTAACGACTATTGTCGCAGAGCGTAAAGTTTAAAATTTATACTTTAGCAGCCATTAACAAATATTTATCTAGTCTAGCTTTAAAAGAATTTACTGTCATTGCAGAAACTACTTTTTCAGGTAAAGCATTCCAATTAGGTATCACTCTGTTCGTAAAATTCTGTTGGTATCATTTTTATTATTTTAGCTTATTATAAATAAGCTAAAATAATAAAAAAAATTTCTCTTATTATAAATATCATAGAAGCCCACATGACCATCTAATGTCAAAATGTGGTTAATTTAATATATAATACTTTAATAGTTCTATGTACAGTGTATTATTGTTATACAATTAAAATTTGTATAACAATAATAATTTTATAACTACATTTTATAATATTTTTATTTTATAAACATTTTTTTTGTTAATAAAAAATGTAATACCCTTTTATAGATCCAAGTTAAATATTACATATTAAATGACTCATCTTTTAAGGAAAAAAAATCATAATAAATCCAGAGATTCAGTTTTTTATTGCTGTAACAAAATGGACAACTACTCTCTTTGTAGTGCCATTATTGATGACACTAGTTCGAGACTATACACACAAAGGATTCAGTTTTGAAATAAATGCATTTTTTACTTGGACTTTGTTGCTGTTGCAAAAATGCTCTCTATGCCAAAAAAGTTATTGTATTTTATAAACATTTTAATAATTTATTAAATTTTTTCTAAAATATTTAACTAAAATACAAAAAATCTTGCTCTCAGGAAGAAAAACTTATGAAAATGATTGAAGAGGTTTGGAAAATTGGATGAGAATTACATAAGTTAAATATTACTCCAACTGACAATCAATGCTTATGTCCAATTTATTGTATGGTATTAGACGAGCACAGTCACAAGCTTTTTAATTTAAGAGATTATATCATTAAGTCAAATGAAAATTTCTATATTGAAAGGTTAAACTCATTCTGCCCAGATTGTTTTCATCTTGTTGGAAAAGGCATTGGGCACCCATACACTAGAACATCTGCTGTTCAAAATGCTTAGGATCTTATTCTTTCCAAAAAATGTCATAGCATATAACCTCAACTGTTCTGAAGTTTCTAGTAAAGGCTTAAAATTTGTTACAATTATCTGCTGGCAAGTTTTTATTTATTGGTTTATTTATTTATAATGAGTTGCTGCAATATTCTATTCTAATTTTAGAAGGAACACTGCTACCTGCAGTACTAAAACCTAAACTCCAAACAAATAAAGTCTCTACTGATACATTATTTGATATCAAGAAAAATCACGATCTGCCTGAAAATGTTGTTTGTGATATTCTTAGAGATTTACAAAAATATCTTGGTCGTGTAGATGTTTAAATATTTTATAAATATAATTTTAAAATTAGCAGTTATTAGTTTATTTATTTTCAAAAAGTTTATAATAACTAATATAACTCATGTTGTTTACAATATTTTTTATTTTACAACTAAGTGTTGCTACAGTTATGACACGTTATCATGCTCTAGAAAAGTTTTCTACTTACAAAAAAGTTCTTTTTTTAAATGGAAAGGAAGATGAAATTAAAAACTCAGTGTTGGAAGATGTTGTATACATTGAAGATCTCACCAGACTTGTTCAAGAAATATGCTTTCAGAATTGTTTGAAAAGTATGCTCTCTACGTGGATTAGATTCTATAAAAGCCATTTGTTAGAATTGGAATTGATGGAGGCCAGGGTTTACTGTAGGTTTAGTAATTTAACCTACTTTGTATTATGCAAATAAAAGAAATAAAGTTCGAATTGTGATTAAGTTTCAGGTAATAATGAATATTTTTGATGAAACAAAGTTATAGGAGCAAATTAGAAATGAGAAAGACTCAGTAGCGAACAAGGTGATAATTTTGGCTTTGGCTTGTAATGTCAAGGAGAATAACTATTTATCATAAAAGCTAGCAATAAATTTAAGAATGTTACATTTCGTAGGTTTGTCTATTAAATATAATATATCCATAAATGAAAAGGTAAAAGTATCTTCAATTTTATTCCACTTGATATCAAGAACTTTAAAAATATCATTTGAAAAAAATTTTGGTTTTGCAATGTAATGTCAAAGAGAATATTAATAATTTCTTTAGTTATTTTATTTTCTAAATTTTGCGAAGTTTGCATTAAAAATATAAAATATTTCAGATATTTTAAGCTCGTCTATTGCTATAGATTATTTTTTGTGTTATTTTTATTGTTATTACATGATTATGTTATTATCCTTATAAAGATTTTGTTAAAAAAAAAAATTTTTGTAATTAGTATATTATTTTAATTAATTTAGCCGCTGACAGCAGCTTTTGATTTATTCAAATTTTAACCGCAAACCGCTGGTAGCAGCTTTTAAGTATGCTTCACAATTTATCTTGTTTTGTACATAAATTTTCACTCTAGACACATAATTTGTTTGTTCTTAAGGTTTAATTAATTCTCTACATAATCAAGAACAAATAAGAGCCATACAAATTTAAAAAATCTTAAGTAATCCTTGAATAAAACTTCTTTAAATTTAGTTTTAAAATTAGGCAGCATTAACACTGTAAAATTTAATTTGTAGAAGTGTATAAGTATTTAGCTAAATAATTAAAAACGTCTTTTTTTCGTCACGAAAAACATTCTTTTTATACATTAAATGAGTTTTTTTAGGACCTATTGTTTTAAATACTATTTATGAAACAATGGTTTTAAGCGCTTTGCATTTCTTATTGTTCAATAATGTGTGTTAAAAACTTATTTAATTAAAAGGCTTATTTGTTTAGCTTTCTATTGATATATAGTTTGATATGGTTTTAAAGAGATTTAATATTCGAATTTTAATTAGTTGTCAATGTTATGCCTGCTAAATTTAATTCAAAAAAATATGTGGTTGCAGCGTAAAGATTTTTGTTAAAACAACTGGTAGCCAAAGAGTTAACCTTATGAAAGTTTAATTAACAGCATAAATAAATATTTAATCATCGGAGAATATATTTAATGAAATTTATTCTGTAAAACATGTATTGCTTATTTTATTATTAAAATTGAACAATTATTGGTCAAGATTGCAAAAAAGTGTAGCATTATCTAGTAAATTTTAAAATTGAAATCGTTTATGAAAAACCTTTTTATTGTGGTTGTTTTTTGATTTGTAAATTTCAGAGACAGTTTAATATAAAATACTTGCCAAATACGACAAATTGGGAAGTATTAAAATATGTTTTTTAACACGCGCTGCGACACATTAATAATTTTAATAACCATCAGCCTTGAATTATTGCCATAAAACATTAATTACTGCTTTAATTAATAAAAAATTGTAAATTTGTTAAGTGTAAAATCTATAATTTTTTTGTAACTAAAAATTTAAGATTTCAGCAAATATCTCTAATAAATCATTTCGTTTACCAAAATTCTTTATTATTTAAAAATTTATCACTATGACGTAAAAATTTGTAAAATGTCATTTCGATAGGAGAACAAAAACGTCATAGTGATAAATGGCTTAGAAAAAAAGTTTACATATAAAGAAAAAAGGTTCAGAATATATAAATGACTTTTTTGAATATTTATTATAATTTAACATAAAAATCTTAAATTTATTTCTCGCGCATTCTATAAAAAAACATTATTTTGTTTAGCTTTTTATTAAATTTATAGAAAAGTCATACAATAAACACTATTTTAAAAAACAAATGAAACAATAACAAGTAATATTTATTTTTAAAAAAATTCTACAATGAGGTCATTTACTAAAACTTTGGAATTAAATGCTCTTGAATAAATTAAAAGTCTGTAGATTGTGGCGTATATTTAAAGAGAGAATTGCTACTGTGGAGCCGGCGAGCTTCGAGTAAAACAACAAAGTTTGTTTTTGTTGGTATACATTTATTATTTTGTTTTACTTAAAAAAATTCTCCCCAAACATTTTTTTTTATCATTCTCTTTAAAGTAAACACAACTTGTCTCGGCACTTTAAGATCCTTTTAGCAAATTTAAAAATGAATAAAGTGCCAAAAACTATAAAACACAAAAAACCATTATCATCACCAAGTTCTCTAAACCTACCATTCACTAATATTTGTGGTCTTCAAAGTAACTTTTCTTCTGTTGAGTCTTATCTCTTGCAAAATTCAGTAGACCTACTTGCTCCTTGTGAGACCAATTTGAGTTTGGCTGTCTCATCTTGTAATCTTAGTGTTGATGGTTATCTTCCTTTAATTCATAAAGACTCCAATAGTCACATGCTTGGCCTGGGCATTTACATTCGTAAGGATTCTCCCATTTGTCGGGAAACTAGATTTGAATCCACAGACTATTCTTTTATGTGCTTTCGTTTAGCACCACTTCATTTGATTGCTTTTCTTTTTTTTCTATATTGCTCTCCTTCATCTCAAAACTGCACTCTTTTTGATGTTATTTCTGATCAAATTGACTAAGCCCTTTCTCTCTAATAGCTTGGCTAGAGTTTCAGTGACTCTGCAGACGTTGAAGCCCACAACATATGTCTTTCTCAATCCCTAACTCAAGTAGTTAACTTTCCAACTCGCTTTCTAGATAACCCAAATCATATACTTTTTCTACTTGACTTATGTCTTGTTTCTGATCCAAGTCAGTGCTCAATTTCTCAACATTCACCCTTAGGTGCTTCTGATCATGGTTTGATCTCTCTAAAACTATTATCTCATTTTTCTTCATCATCTGAATCTCCCTATCATCGTACGTATTACAATTACCTTATAGCTGAATGGGACTCTTTCTGTGATTTTCTTTGTGATGGCCCTCTCGTTCATGGAATCTGGCATGGAATCTTTGACTCCCTCTCGATGATTCCATGTCAAGCCTCACTCTTCTCCATGGTTTTCCTCACATTGTGCTGCTGTAATTTCCAATCAAAATCGTTACTTCTACATGTATTAGCAAAATAGTTCTCCAGAAAACAGATGTGTGTTTATTACCGCTAGGAACTATTGTAAAAATGTCAAAGACTGATATTCTCAGGTCATAAAATCTTGTATTTCATCGCAAAAATTCGGCTCTCATGACTTCTGGAGAATCTCTAATAGTATCAATAATAAGGGAAAATCTGTTAAAATCTGTTATTCCACCTCTTTTGTATGGTTCAGACTTTGTCACCTCACCTAAAGACAAAGCTAAATTGTTTGCTAAGAACTTTTCATCAATATCATCTTATGATTCCTCTATTTGTGTTCTACCTGATAAAGTTAACAAACAGGTTGATCCATTGCTTGACATTCTCTCCAGCTTCTGTATCTAAAGTGATTTCCTGGGTGGACTCTTCTACAGCTTGTGGTCTGGAAAACATACCTGTTCTAGTCTTGCAGAAGTGTTCTCCCCAGCTGTCGTCTATACTTTTCAAAACTATTTAACAAGTGCTTATCAGAGTCTTGTTTTCCAGCCTGCTGGAAAGTGGCATCTGTTATCCCTATTTTCAAAAACTCTGAAAAGTGACCCTGATTTGTCTATAAGCAAGGTTTTTGAGTCTTTAATTGACAAACAATTAATCTCTCATTTTGACTTTAATAACTTACTTTCTGATCACCAATATGGATTTCGATCTTCTCGTTCTACAGCTAATTAGCTAACAGTAATAAACAACAGGTTTTATTGTGCATTAGATAAAGGTGGAGAGGTTAAGGCCATCTCTCTTGACATTTTTAAAGCTTTTGATAAAGTTTGGCATGCTGGTCTTCTCCATAAGCTTTCTTCTTATGGTGTATCTGGTAACATCTTTAAGATTATTGAATCCTTCCTTTCCGATCGTAGTATAAAAGTTGTCCTCGATGGACAGCACTCCTTCATTTTCTGTAACTTCAGGGGTTCCTCAAGGTTTAATCATTGGCCCTATACTCTTTTTAATTTACATTAACGATCTTCAAGATATTCTCACATCTAAGGTGGCATTGTTCGCTGATGATACTACCATTTATTCTTGTCATGATAAGAAGCCAACTCTCTCTCGTTGCTTAGAGGGGGCTGGTGAACTTTAATTTAAATTTTTTTCAGCCAATCGTTATTGTTATAATTTAGATCTTCCTATATTTATGAATGGTAATGTATTCCATGAGTTATCTATCCTTCATCTTCTAGGGTTAACTCTTACTTACAATCTTTCTTGGAATCCTTTTATCAAATCCATCTCAAAATTAGCATCTACTAAGGTTGCATCTCTTTATCGAGCTTGACACTTTCTCACTCCGGATTCTATTTTGTATTTCTATAAATCTCAAATCCAGCCTTGTATGGAATACTGTTGCCATATCTGGAGCTGATATTCTAAAGATGTCCTTTCTCTTTTAGACAAGGTGCAAAAGCACATTGTAAACATAGTTGGACCTGCTCTTGCAGCCAACCTCCAACGATTATCACATTGTCGTAATGTTGCTTTTCTTTCTCTTTTCTACAAATACTATAATGGGCACTGCTCTTAAGAGCTAGCGCCTTTTGTGCCATCTACTAAAATTCATTCTTGTGTTACTCGTCATTCAATTAAGTCTCATCCTTTTTCTGTGACTGTTCCTAAGTGCTCCAAAAACTCCTATCTGTAATGTATAGAACAGACACAGAAATTATATATAACAAAAATAATTCTAGTTCTTATGGCTAACATAGCCATAAAGTTATCAAACCATTAAAGGTATTATATTATATTAAATTAACCATATTTTGAAGATAAAGATAATGGATGTTCATGTGGGTTTCTATGATATTTATAATAAGAGATATGTAAAATAATAAAAAGGATTTTTTTTTTTAAACACTATTTTCTGGATTTCATAAAATATAAATTTTGTTCTAAAAAGGAATGCTTAGAATTTCATTTTCAACACATTTCAGCGTGTACATTTACATATTAATAAAACCTGAAGAAAAACCTTATTCCTTTTGAAATTCAACCTAAAACCCTTAGAATCAAGCAGTGCAAGAACACTTATTATGATTCTATGCCAGTAATTGTCAGAAATCTCTTGGTGTTCATTTTAAGAAATCAAAACTTTTGTTGTTTAAACCTCATTCTGGTCTTTTAAAAATCTTTCAAAATAAAATAAAGTTTTTGATATTTTTTCAATTATGGAGTTGTAGATTTTTCTGGACTAATCGTTCCAACTAGAATCACCAACTGGCTACTCAATATTTTCTATAAACATTTTCAATAAATATTTTCAGAAATTATTGTGGATATCTCTAGAAACCATAAATTTGTTGGTCAGAAAAATTACTTTTTAGAATTGCTTAAAGATTCCAAAATTGAATTTTAGGGTGGAAAGCTTATTTAGTTAATGCAGTTTTCACCAGGCTTAGAAAACTATGGTGTTTACAAACAAAATTTGGGTCATCCCAGGTCATCAGGCTTTGAAAACTATGGTGTTTATAAACAAAAGTTGGGTCATCCCAGGTCATCAGACTTTAAAAACTATGGTGTTTAAGAAAATTATTCAGGGTACTAAAAAAATTGACAAGTTTTACAATTGCATATTGGTCATAAGTTAATAGTAATAACCAAGTCTGTATTTGTGGCTTTACATAAAGAATTCTTGTCTAACTAACCTGTTATAAATATTAAATAAAGAAAAAGCTTTTAGGCGTTTTTTATTTAAAAATTTTAAAATGCAGATTTCTCTCTCTCATTTAATATACAAATAATCTGAAAGATTATTTGTATATTAAATATGTCCATCCAAAAACTTAAGAGTTAGTTATAATAATAATTGATTGAGAATTCCATGTTGAATTTGATTAATAGTTATTAACTAATGTTGTTTCTGTGTCTATATTTAAACAATATTACAGTAAACACAAGAACTACTAAATTTATTCATAATAATAATTTATCTGACACCTGTTTAATAAGTATATACCAGACTGTTGTTGAGTTACATAATATAAGATCTTTTTAAATTTTTTATCAGTTGAGTATAGTTAAACTTAGAGTTATTTATAAAATGAATTCTTTCACTTGTTTTAAAAAATGTTCTTTAAAATATACAAATAATTACAGGAGGTCATTACAATAGTTAGGGTTGCATAATATAAGATCTTTTTTAAGAGTTTTAATTTTGTTGCTTGATTTGATAAAGAAATGTCAAATATCTTATTTATCATATCTCAATGTATGAGACAATCTCTAATCAATGATTTTTTTTTTTTTTTTAAATTAGCTCTTTCAAGATTTAATTTATAGATTTGTACTTGTCTTTCAGTTACAAACCAACCTATATTTGGGGTAGAAGTGGCCATTTCCAAAGTTTGGTGTTTTCAATAGCTAATCGCTTTGGTTCTATCCCAGAGTACATAAGTGCACAGCACAGTATAATTGCACCTGATGGATCTTTAGTTACTTACCGTTTGACCCAGCCCTCTTACATACAAGTATGTTTTTTTTAGTTATGTACCTATTCATATTTGGGGAAAATCTGGGCATTTGCAAAGTATTTTTTTCTCAGCAATCGGTCGATTTGGCAAAACTCCAAAATATGAAAGTCATCGTTATAAACTTGGTGGTGATGATGGTTCTTTGGTATCTTATGATTTGTTCACCACAAAAGTTCACGTATGACTAAAATATTTTAAACATTTAATAATATTAATATATTAATATAAATTAAAATATTAACATATTAATATATTAATATAAGTTAAAACATTAATGCATTAATAAACACCAACTCAAACAGTTCTAGTTCACACACTTTCTATTATCAAAAAGTTTTAAAACTTCTTTGAATTTTTTTTTAAAGATATAGTAATTTAACAGTTTATAAATTTATAATAAATAATATACTAATAAATATATAATATATGAGCATAATGATAGTTAAAAGAATAAAACTCAGTTTATTCTGCACAGTTTTTAAGTTACACCAGGTGATGACACTAAGTATTTTAAATATTAATCAAACATTAAATTAAATAAGTTAACATTTAACAAGCATATCAATAAAATAAACTATAATTTTATAAGTTTGTTTAAAACATTTCATTTGTAATTGTAACCAAAAGTAATTTATTTTCAATATTTTAAAAATGGTACATTAGGTTCAATTAACATATTTTTTACTATTATATGTATTGCTTCAACAAAGACCTTTTTATTTCAATTTGTACTAATATTGTTGTTTTTTTTTATCCAATAACGTTATAGAAAAATTCAGTGACCATTGTAGTTGTTCCTGGTATATGTAATCATTCAGAGAATAAGTACATTAAAGTTTTTGCTCAACATATGAATCAACATGGATACAAAGTGGCTGTATTAAATCACACTGGTGCATTGAAAAATGTTCCACTTACAAGACCAAGGATTTTTACATATGGTTAGTAGAGTATGTTTTAACAAATAAATGTGCAGGCACACATAAATACATACATACATATATACATATATATACATACATATATATATACATATATATATACATATATACATATATATATATGTATATATATATATATATATATATAATTTTAATTTTGCTGTGAGCATATATTCAGCAAGAGTGCTCGATGAATGATATCTGAGCTATATAATTATTTTTTTTACTCTTACCAACCTTTCAAAAAACTCTTACCGACCTTTCAAAAAACCAAATGAATATCTACGTTACATCCACACTGAGTCCAACCATCCTCCGCAAATAATAAAGCAAATTCCCATCTCTATCAACAACAGATTATCACAAAATTCCTCAAATGAAAAAACATTTAATTTATCTGTACCAGAATACGAAGATGAATACCAGAATACGAAGATGAATTAAGAAGAAATAGCTTTACTGGTTTTAATTTAAAGTATAATCCCCAAAAAAGTGAAAAAAAGGAAAGAAAAAGAAAAAGAAATATATGGTTCAACCCCCCCTCCCCCTCCCCCCCTCCCCCGTATAGTAAAAGCGTTTCTACCAATGTCAAACATATCTTCCTAAACTTAATCGTAAAACATTTTCCAACATCCCACTCGCTATTCAATAGAAAGCTATCAAAGTGAGTTACAGCTGCACCAAAAATATTGCAAAAATTATAAAAAGCCACAACATAAAAATCAGTTCAAAAAAACCAAAAGAATACCCACCCTGCAATTGCATAAATAAAAAAAACTGACCTATAATAGAAAAATGTAGATCCTCCAACATTATTTATAAATGTACAGTATCCTCCCCCCCCCCCTAACACCTCAGAAAAAGTATATATTGGCCTAGCAGAAGGTGAATGGAAGAAAAGATGGGCTAGCCACAAACACTCATTTACAAACAAAAAGATGAAAAATTCGACCAACCTTTCAAAATATATATGGCAGATAAAAGAAGTGGTAGTGGTATAGTGGTAAGAGCGCTCACTTTGTAAGCGAGAGGTTCGAAGTTCGACTCCCACCACGTCCCTGGAAGTACCGCGCTCAACTTAATTTCTCTGCACAGCGGCCTTGCTTGTCAAGGTTTGTGTTTCGGAGTTAAAGAGTTGAGAGAGGGTTGTACCACGATTTACAACAACAAAAAAAAAAAATGAGTAGCCTCCTCGACTGTAGTGGCCCCCTCGGGCCTTAGGAAAGTGAATAAATAAAAATAAAAAAAAAGTAAACTTAAAAATAACACCCAAATTAGCCTGGTCAATAATTAAACAAGTCCCAGCCTACAGCAACGTAACAAAAAAATGCTTGCTTTGTCTTCATGAAAAACTTTGCATAATATCATACAAAGGTACGCAAGAACTATTTAATAAAAAAACAGAAATAATATCTAAGTGCTGTCATGAAAATAAATTCTTGCTTGACAACCACGAGCCCAAAGATTAAAAAACCAAACCACGCTTGTAAATAGTTAACATTTTATAATTGTTTTTGAACGCCACAATGTTTATTGAGTATATTTTTTAACGAAAAAAACAATGTATTTTTTACCTGATGATTGCTAAACGCATGAAACTTTTAGTTGTAAAAATTATGTAGTTATTTTTTATTTAACCTCGTCAAAAAAAACAATTATATATATATATATATATATATATATATATATATATATATATATATATATATATATATATATATATATATATATATATATATATATATATATATATATATATATATATATATATATACTCATATAGTGTCGCTTTAAGAGCATTTTAATGTAAAAAAAGTCTCTTACGACTACAATTTTAATTACCTCGTCTCTTAAGCTGTTTTTGATTGTCATCGAAATGTCAAAGCAATTAATTTATGCGGAAGTACATTAAATTTAATTGTTTTTTAAAAAATTTTTAAAAAACCGCAATTATAACGACTAGAAAGTTTTTTTTAATTAGTGGTGTTTTTGTTATTGATTTAATAAAAAACATTTTTTAAACATGCGTAAATGTTGCTACATCGACTATCTTATAGCCTGACTCACAACGGAGTGCTGCTACATCGACTGACAAATAGCCTGACTCGCAACGGAGTGCTGCTACATCGACTGACAAATAGCCTGACTCGCAACGGAGTGCTGCTACATCGACTGACAAATAGCCTGACTCACAAGGGAATGCTGCTACATCGACTGACAAATAGCCTGACTCGCAAGGGAGTGCTGCTACAACGACTGACAAATAGCCTGACTCGCAAGAGAGTGCTGCTACATCGACTGAGGGTTTGGTTTGGCCAGGCAGTCTATCAATTAAAAAAAAAAATTTAATTTTTAAAACTTTTTCTGGTCTGGTTTATTAACGCACTCTTTAAAACTACAGTTTATGGGAAATATTTTTTGATGCTACGCAAGAGACATGCAAGACTATATATATATATATATATATATATATATATATAATATATATATATATGTATATATATTTTGTGTGTGACAATTATCCTGCAAGCTTCTGTATGATGATTTTTATTAATTTTTTCCATTTGCATTTTCGACCATGATCCAATGAAATATTTATACACTAATGTCAGAGAAATCTGAAGAAGCAATGACTTGAAATGAAATGAAAAAAGTTAAAAGTAAAGCTGGTGTGTATTTTGTGATGTAGTTTCTGGATTCCTAGGAAATCGTAAGGACCCTAATTACAAACAACCGGTTGCAAAGCTTATTAAACAATTTAAAAAAATGTATAAGGTGGCATGAAAATTAATTTTTTTGAAAATTGTTATGCTCCTAGGTTTGTTTTATATAATAAAATAATTTTGGATTTGCAAATTAAAAATATTTTTAAGGGTCCTAACTGGTCTCGAACAAAAGTTTTTTTCAAAAGTAAGTCAACCTTGTACTCAAAAGAAGCAAAGTTTTATAAAAATTTCAAAAATAGTTATTTGTTTGATATTGTTCTAATCTTTCTTTTGTTGATTATTAAAATGTTAACAATTTTAGAAAATATTTGCACATTTACAAGAGAAAAAAATAACTATTTGTACCATAAATGTTTTTAGAAATGAGAGAGGCATAAAAGAATGTGCTTTTTATTATGTATCAATCAACTACATTTTTATAAATATTTTTAAAAGTAATTTAGAAATTATTTATAAGTAATTTTAAAATAAACTTTCTAGGTACCTTTCTACATACTTTTCTAGATACCTTTCTACACACCTTTCTCATACCTTCTACATAACTTTCTACATAAGTTCTAAATTGTTGTTCAAAATTAATTTAAACATTGATTAAAAACATTATATAAACTGTATATTTTAAAGTTTTTAAGTGTGTGCTAATAAAACCATTGAAAAACAGGTAGCAAAACATTAAAAATTATTTAAACATTAAAAGTAATTTTACTCTAACTAAAATGCTCTAAGTTTGCTAAAAACTTTTAAATAAAAATAAATTTCCACTATCAATTTATTAAAGAATTAATTTTGATTATTTTAAAAACACTAAAAGTTTAACAATCAATGTAAAATCAAAACTTATGTAAAAAAAAAAAAAGGAAAGTTACTCTGTAATGATAGTACTTTCTGTTTTGTTTTATATCAAAACTTATTTATTTTATATTTTATTTTTTTATAATTATTATTTTATTTATTATTTATTATTATGTATTGTATTGATGTATTGTATATTAGTGTAATATTGCAGACTCAATGTGTTCAATTTTGGAATTTTCGGCTAAAAGTCTTTAAATGTTTACAATTAGATGGATAATTAGATGTTAAATTTTTTAATTGTTTGCATAAAATCTCAAAACATAAATTTCTTTTAAGATGATGTTTTGGTTTTCTTTTTTTAGGTTATACAGATGATTTAGACTTAGTTGTTAGTGACTTAATTGTAAAAAATCCTGGCGAGAAACTTATAGGAATTGGGTTCTCACTCGGTGCTAATGTTTTGATGAAATATTTGGGAGAGAAACCTGAACGACAATTAAATTTTTTGTTTGCTGCTTCATTGTGTCAGGGTTATAATTTGCCAGAGTATGTTTTAGTGTTTTTTTGTTTTGTTTTTGATTTAATATATTATAGTAGTTATTAATTATATACTTTTTTTTTTTAATAATGGCTATAAAAAATAATTTACCTTTTAAGATGCATAACAGTGATGAGCGAATGGGATAATCTGCGAAGGTTGTACTACTTTGGTCTCACGCGTAACATGCTAAAGGTCATTAGTTACCATAAAGACAAGTTTGAAAGTCACAGCATAAAAAATAATATCCCACTTGATTGGAAACGCATTTCCTCAGCCAAAGCACTTCATGAGCTTGATCATCATTTTACTGCGTAAGAATTATTTAAGCTAACTATAAAGTTGCGAGATTTTCTTTTTGTTTTTAGTTACTATTTTTCTGTTCTTAAAAGTATAAAGTAATTAAGTCGTTTTTTTTTAATTTAAATTTCAGAAAGGTTTATGGTGATATTTCTGATATGGCAGCATTTTATAGAAGCAACAGTTCAAGTACCTATATGAAAAATGTAAGTTGGGGAATTGTTGTTTTTAAACTTTTTGAACTAATATACTATTTTCATTATTCTTTATTAAGTGTTAAATTTTTTTTATCAACATTTTACAACTGCCATACATGCATTTATTATTTATTATGGAAAAACAACAAACACTCTTACATAATATACATAAAAAAACAAACATGCATACATACATATATACATACATACCCCCCCCCCTCCTTCTCTGGTGAATTTATGAAGTTGTAAATATATTATTATGAAGTGTTATAAAGTATGCATTTTATGTACAAAATGGCTATTTTATCTATACTTTTAACAAAATCTTTAATCATTTCAAATATTAAAATTGTTTTTTGATATTGTTTATGTGGCGTTTTTTACATCAAGTTATTGTAAAATATATTTTATTTTTGGCACATTAGTTTGGCACCTATACTGGTCAATCAGTATGGAATTACATCTGGGTACCGCACTGATATATAAATACTACATAGATATGCATACATACGTACATACATACTTACATACATACATACATACATACATACATACATACATACATACATACATACATACATACATACATACATACATACATACATACATTTATAGCATTTATATAATAAATACATATACACATAGATATGCATACAAAACATCTAACTAAATTTAAGTTTTTGAAAACTTTATTTTGTTTGGTTATATATAAATTTTAAAAGTTTTATTTTTTGTAGATTTTTATACCAACTTTGGTGTTAAATGCAAAAGATGACCCATTAATTCCAGAATCTCTTTTTAAGTACCCAAGAAGTCTTTGTGGTAAACTGATAATTCATTTTGTGTTATAATAAAATATTTTACATAATATAACTGACAATCATTTAAAATAAGGCTTTGAAAACATTGTCTCTTTATGAAAACATTGTCCCTGTGTCCCTATGATACTTATATCTTATGGCCAAATTACTTACAAAGTTTATATGAAAGAAATTTTTATAAAGTTTATATGCAATAAAATTACCAGCACATTAATTAATAAAATTTTGTTAAGTGTACTAAATAATAGGATAAACAATTATGTTTAAAAAAAAAGCAACATATTAAAGTGTTGTTTTGTAAACAGCAGTTTTTTAATGACTCCAGTTCCATAAAAAAAAAAAAAAATTAATCATTTCTAGCAGCTCTCATGATGTATAACATTTTTTTACTATAAATTAAAGTTTAATCTATATGATGTAGTAATTTAAGGTTATAAATATTGTTAGCAATAAATTATTAAAAGGATAAAGTAAAAAAGAAAGTAGAAAACTGAGGATCTAAAACATTGATTATCTCATTATGTAACATTTCTTTTTTTTTTATTCAATGGAAGAGTTTCTTATCTTGTCTCATCTGATTTTCAAAAAACAAAAGAATAATAAAATTCGTTTCTCAAAAAGTCCCTGGCCATATGAAGGTATTTCTTTTCATTTAGCCATAGCTATTTATTTCTTTTAGCCCTAGATAGCATTTTTCTTTGGCTCAAATCTAAAAAAAAAAAAAGCTTATTTCACACCTCTAGAAACAATAATTTTTTTAAAGAGATCTTTCTTATGAACGAAAAAAACTTGGTAAATATATACATTTTTTGAATTTTATGATTTTTTCCTAAACATAAAGATTTATACTGCATTAAAATCAAAGCTTGATGTAACAAAAATCAAAATATTTTGATATATAAAAAATATTTTTTAACATTTGCTTGAGTTATTTCATAAAAGTTAACAAATCAGCATAATGTGAATCACAATATTTAAAGTAAAAAAAACTGCAAATAAGTGCGTTTTTTTTTTTTTTTTTTTTTTGACAAATTCATTTTTGTGTATTTTGATTATATAATTATTTCATTTCCAAACCAAATGCATTAAAAAAAAATTTAATCTCAAAAATAATAAAGAAGTTGATCTTCATTTTAGTAGATGGCACCAAAAATATTTATCCCTGATGATGTCTTGGCAACCATCAAACATTTGATTTTTTACAATTTTTTCTGAAAAAAGATTTCAAAAATTAAATAGTTATGAAAATACTGCAGATAAATGTAAGTTATTGACAATTTAAAATGCTAGAGAAGTTGAGACAACTGGCTCTGGGTGCCAACCAAAAAGGGACGCTTGTTTTTTTATTTTTAGTAAAAAGTTATATTTTTAGAGTAGATATGTATTTTTAAAAATTTTATTACAAAATTTTAGGCGATGATTATTCATATGCCTAATAGCGCCATCAATCCAACAACGTCACAAATGCGGACCTGTTATAGATGCATAATCTAGTTAACTAGGTACTTGATTATGCTATGTAGTTTTAGAAACAATACAGATTTTACAACACATTTTTTGCAACATAAAAAACAAAAAAGAAAAACAAATATTTTTGCTGTTTCTTACTATATGTTAATATATTGTTTCTTTTCCACACAAAAAAAATTGACGATAGAAAAAATTCAGTTGTGCAAAACCATAAACAAATTGATTCTAATTACATATTTAAAATAGCTTCAAATTTGGAATTAATGTCTAAAACAACAATTGACAGTTAATTGTAATATCGACCTGTTGCAGAACTGATTGGATCTGGAATGACTGCAATAACATGCTGTTCAGGTACCCAACAAGTGTCCTTGGTGCTAGGCCAGTAAAATGACTGAGCCATGAGGATGCATAAAATCAATCAATACATCTTCCTGTTCTTCTGAAAATTTATAAACATTTCCAATCCACCAATGTGCATTGTAAATACATGCAACAAAATTTCCAGGAGTAACTCAGACAGTGAAACTAATTTGGTTGAGTTGTTGTTGTAACTTTCATTAACGTTTGCAATAAAAGATGTATTTTCATTTGAAATACAACTGACACAAACCTGATTTTCATTTACAGGTACAAATTTGTGATTATCGTGAGCAACTGTGTTTCCAGTACTGTGTTTACAGTTCCTCCAATTCTATCACAGGGAGATTTTCCATGAATAGTTGCAAGAAAATTCTACTCTGCTTTAATGCCATAGTCAGTATAATAGTAACATAAATTCATAAAATTTTTAAAGTTTTTGTACTGTTCAGCTCAACCATCATTGAAATAATGAAGAAGCTCAAAATACAAATAAGTTTTAAGTTCAGCTATTAATTTACCAGAAATACATGGACAGAAATAGTATCGTGATGTATGCAATCACTGATAACACAATAACATTTATTTTTAAGTATGCCATTAAGTTTATAGTAAACAACAAAAGGATGCAAAGTTGTTTGGCTGTTTTCCCAATAAAAACCTTGAACAGCATCTTGCACAGCAAATGAATAGTCAGAAAAATCCATCAAAATGATCAACTCATTTGAATTCAATTCATTTTTCAATAATTGCAAATAGTTGTTTTTGTTTTTGGCAATAAAATGATGCTTAGATAAAACAGATACTTTTAAAATTAATTCATCTATGAAGTTATCTTCATGAAAATTGCAAAGGTTCTAAAGTTTCACGATCTGCTTTTATGCATTGCTTGATTGTTATAGTTTCATCAGATTCTTCAAGATAAGCCTTTAAAATTTCAGTCCCAGGACATTTATCGCAATGATGAAGCATACATTCTTTAGATTCAATGTCACAAACTATTTTTTCCATAAGACATTTATAGTCTACGGTAACTGGGCTACTTGTAAGCATTAACTTTATATTCAGAATTTAGAAAATCCAACTTCAGGTCGATTTTCTTTTTTATACTCAAAAAAAAGTTCCTTTAAATTAACTAACAGTAATTTTTTTGCATATGCACTTCTTTAGTACCAATGCGCACAGATACAAAATCTTTTTTCCCTGGACATGTTCTGGTAAAAGTTCGTAAAATTTCAAAAATTTTTTAACATGTTCTGGCATTTTCTTTGCTGCATTTCTTTCTGGAAGTGCTAAGATTCCACTTTTCGTTTTTAACTTTTTTTCTTGACCAACTGTTTGGTATAAGTGTTAAAATTTGAACCTTTTCACGTGGATTACTAGTTGTTGATATTTTATCCTTCAATTATAATATCAAATCTGAACAGTCAATGCAATTCTCACTCTCTAAACTTGGACTGCTTAGTAAAAGGGCATTATTATTTGGTGATAAACCACTAAGAACAGCTATTTTTTCTGCAACTGTTATTTGCACTTTCCGAATTTTACCTTTTACATAACTAGCATGGTCTCTCTTATTAACACGTTTTCTTAAAGGCGAAGTTCCAATTTCAGAAATGCTAGTATTAATAGTGTCAGTTAAACAAAATATATCATCTGTGTCATCAATATCGTCGATTTTTTCATTTGAAGAGTTTGTGGTTAAATAAGCTTCGCGGTAATTTAGACACAATTTTTGACCTGGACAAATAACTTTATTTGTCAACTTTGAAAGTTAATAAATTTCAATCCTTTAACTGAGCAAGGATTAGCTATACCAAAAGGTTTAAATAATAGCGCTGCTAATGCGTGTATTTAACCAACAGCAATGGTTTGTGATGGAAACAAATTAAAGTAATATTTTTAATTAAATTACAAGTTCGCCTGATAATCTAACTCTGTTCCTCGTTCGAAAGTTCTGAGCTAAAGTCAATAAAACCTTTTTTTCGTGAATACTTAATTGACATAAACTTCCGTCAAATTTTCCAATACAACAATTATTTAAGGTTTGTTCAACAGACATGTCAGTTTAAAATAACTCTTATTCTAACTTCGATTCTAATTTTCGTCTTCTAATATTAGATGTTTGTGATAAACTTAAATATTTGAAATTAATTTAGAGAGATTTGTCCGTAGAATAAAAATATACATACTTACTAAAATGCTAATTTCTACACGACAATAGTTAATTTACGGACCTTAATATCGTTCTTAAAATATCAACGACTTTGTAGACTTAGCTCATAAAAACTAGTTTTTTTAGTTCATAGGAAAAATCTCTCCAAAATGGTTTTTATTGTTTCTAGAAGTGTAAAATTAGCTCTTTCTAACGATGCATTAAAAAAACAAAAAAAATTTGCCCACATTGAATTTGAGGGGTTCAAACACACGTTATTTTAGGGTATTTCACTTTTGTCGCTATATTGCTTTCAAAATAACTCAGAAAAGACAAAGAGACAAGACAAATGATTTTTTATCCATATCAATATGATAGTACGTAGAACCTTTAGACAAAATAACAATACTAAAAAACCTTTTGTTCTGGAGATATGACCCTACAAAAAACAAAAAAAAATTTATGGTGTTGAATTTGTGACGGTATTTAGTGAACCATAGACTAAAATGTAGAAATAATATGAAACTTGTAATAATTTTTTTGTAATCTCCACCTTCGGTTTACTAAAAAACCACGTTTTTAAGATATATTACTCTTTCATTACGAAAATTATTTGGTTTTTTAGTAAACTGAAGATGGAGATTACAAAAAAATTATTACAAGTTTCATATTTTTTCTACATTTTAGTCTATGGTTACTAAATATCGTCACAAATTCAACACCATAAGTTTTTTCTGTTTTTTGTCTTACAAAAAGTACCACACAACCCGAAATAATAAATATTTTAATCTAAAAATTTGGCAATGTTCATGAAACATGTTTACCAACATACTGACAAAATTTTATCAAAATCGGAGATGGTCGAGCGGAGAAGATTTTGGAAATTTGACCGTTTGGCATGGAATGACCCTCTATCAGCTAGTGCAAAAACCACTTAGATATGAGCACTACTTATGCCATTAAGCACATGATTTTAGGGACAAATCTGTATTCCCTACTTTAAAAATTAATTACTTTTTTCTTTCTCCTGAACAATATTCGAAAAACAAGTTATGTTGTTTTTTACTAAAGTCATCAACTGTTTTTATACTTTTTATAAAAAAAATTATTCAAAGAAATAATTTATCTGTGTAAATTTTTTATTAATTTAGTAATATTTTTATTATTTTTTTGTACTAATTAGATACAAATCCGAATGTTGTGTTTGTTGTAACTCCTTATGGTGGCCATCTTGGATTTTTTGAAGGTGGTTATATTATACCAAATCGTTTGTCTTGGCTGGATCGAATGTTGCTGGAGTTTACAAACGTAGCTCTAGATGTTGTTATTAAAAACGATGTTTTAGAACCGAAAGAAGTTGTGTTTGAATGCTGATCTCCCATATATACTGCATAGTTTATATTAGAATTCTGAAATATTGACAAAGTAAATATTTAGTAGAGCCAAGTTTTTTTTTATGAATCTGTATAGTTTAATAAGGTTTTATAATTTTTGTAGAATATTAGCTAAATTGTTTGGTTATGCACACTTACGTTTGTTGTTTCTTTATCACTATTTAAAAAATGTTAGGTTTTTAGGTTGATTTTGTCGTTGGCGCACTTCCATAAGTCATTTTAAATTTTTTTAAATCTGTATTACTTTACTTTCAAAGTATAATCTTAAATATACTGTAACAAAATAAAAAGAAACTTAATAAAACCTAAACCCATTTTTATTCATCTATTTTGTATTTGTATCAATGTGTTTTTTATAAATTAGGATGTTGTTAATAATTTTTAACTGAGTTTTAACAAAACAAAAATACAAAAATTTAATTTGTGACTTCTGAAGATATGCTATTACAATTTTCAGAATATTTACATTGAATTTGATAAAGGATAACTTATGACAAAATTACTTTTTTTTATATATTAGTTACTAATTTTTTATATTTACCATGTATGAATAAATTCCACAAATATAATTTTGTTGTTCCTTTATTTCTACTGCTATTTTTAATAAATATAGTAAAAACAAGCTGTTTTATCGTAAGTTGTCGTACGTACTACGAATTATCGACAATAATCAATTATCGTCATTTTCAATGAAGTTTTTTTTATTACAAATTTTGGCGTCTTTTTTTATTCTTCCTTCGTTTTTTTTTTTAGGAGGTAATGTTTTGTGATTAACGGTTTGAATTATAAAAAAAAATTTTAAAATTTTACTTTTTAAATGTATAATGTTAAGAGTATCTATTTACAGTTATGAGTATCTATTTACAGTTATGAGCATCTATTTAAAGTTATGAGTATCTATTTACAGTTATGAGTATCTATTTAAAGTTATGAGTATCTATTTACAGTTATGAGCATCTATTTACAGTTATGAGTATCTATTTACAGTTATGAGCATCTATTTACAGTTATGAGTATCTATTTACAGTTATGAGTATCTATTTACAGTTATGAGTATCTATTTACAGTTATGAGTATCTATTTACAGTTATGAGTATCTATTTACAGTTATGAGTATCTATTTACAGTTATGAGCATCTATTTACAGTTATGAGCATCTATTTACAGTTATGAGCATCTATTTACAGTTATGAGCATCTATTTACAGTTATGAGCGTCTATTTACAGTTATGAGTTTCTATTTACAGTTATGAGTATCTATTTACAGTTATGAGTATCTATTTACAGTTATGAGTATCTATTTACAGTTATGAGCATCTATTTACAGTTATGAGCATCTATTTACAGTTATGAGCATCTATTTACAGTTATGAGCATCTATTTACAGTTATGAGTATCTATGCACGAAACAAAAATTTTTACAATTTCTAGCGTTTTTATTTTTCTAAAATCAACGTTTTCTTACAAGAGAAGATGTTGGTATGATAAAAAAACTACTTTATTACTGGTAATAGATTTAAAAATTCCAGAAACAAATAATTGTGCAACGAAGCATTTTACCTCAGCTATATAGCAAGATACAACTAGGAAGACGTCGTACCCCAATCAGTAACGTTTCTTTTAAGAATTCTTTAAAATAAATAACAGTTTTTAAAATAACAGATATATAAAAACGGTACCTAAATGTGCATTTAGTGTAGGTCCAATCATCAAATAGAGGTACATTGTAAGAAGAAAAACATGATGCAAAGAGTTGCTACTCTATACAAGTTTGTCTTATATAAGTCAAACTTATCTTCTCCTTGTCCTTACCATCTTTATATATTTTAATGTGCAATATTTGTAAATATATGAACGACTAAATAAATACAAAAACCTTATTAAGTTTAGCTTTTTTCTTTTGTAATGTGGTTTCTTGTTACTTTTTTTTTTTTTATATGTATATATATGTTTAGAAAGAGAAATTTCAGTAAACTTTTAAGGCGTAAATTTAGATGATTACGTTGAAGTGTACAATGCGTTAGAGTGAACATATAAACAACATTGAGAAAAAATATTGCCATGGTATATAAGACTAAACCATTTCAAAACAATAAATCTATTAAAAGTTTATATATTTCTTTTATTCTTTTTTGTTTGATTTATTGTAATATTGCATGGGTAAGTATAAATCGAACTTGAAGTAGCTATAAAATCACTTAAAATCAAGTCCCCAGGGATCGATGACATCTTTTGCAAAGCAGTGTTAGATGTTTTTGAGGAGCTACGTAATCTAATTTTCCAAGTATTTAATTTATCAGCTACAACAGGCATTGCACCTGATAAACTAAAAATATCTAAAATTATACCAATCTATAAATCAGAAGAAACCAATTCTTTAAACAATTACAGACCAATCTCAATCCTTTCGGTATTTTCAAAACTTCTAGAACGAATAATCTTTAATAAATTAAATGAATATTTAAAAACGAACAAAATTATCAATAAAGGTCAATATCGTTTTCAAAAGCTACACTCAACTGAGCATGCAATCCTTGACCTATCGAATAGGATAAGTAGATCATTTAAAAAAAAATTCACATTTGGGATCTTTATTGATTTGTCAAAGGCATTTGACACTATCAACCACGAGATTTTACTGAAAAAAAATGAAAAACTATGGCGTAAAAAATCAAGCTTTAAATTGGTTTAAAAACTACCTAAACAACAGACAACAGTGTGTTATTGTAGATAAAAAAAGCAACTCAAGTTTACTGAGAACAAAATGTGATGTACCCCAAGGTTCCTTTCTTGCTCCTCTTTTGTTTCTTATTTATATAATCGATCTTCCAAACGCTTCTAATATCTTCAAAACTATAATGTTTGCCGACGACACAAACTTATTTTACTCAGCAAAGACAATCGAAAACCTTTTTGAAAAAACAAATGCTGAACTAAATAAAATTAATATATGATTTAAATCCAATAAACTGTCACTCAATGCAGAAAAAACTAAGTACATACTATTTCACTCTAATCAACAAATTAAAAAAATACCCCTGAACCTACCAAATATAGCCATCAAAAGAGTTCTGAATACAAAGTTTTTAGGAGTTCTAATTGACAAACATATCTCCTGGAAAACCCACATAAACTACAAAAATATCAAATAACATTGGTTTACTATCCAAAGCAAGACCATTTTTCTCACAAAAAAGTCTAAAACTTGTCTACTTTTCATTCATACATAGCTACCTGATGTATGCCAATATAGCATGGGGCAGTACCGACAAATCTAAATTAGAACCACTTTACCTACGTCAAAAACACCCTTCAAAACTAGTATACAACAAAAATAAATTTGCTCATGCTCAACCCTTATTGGAACAAATGAACGCACTAAATATATTTCAAATAAAGATTTTTCAAAATATACTTTTCATGTTTAAATATAAACTAAATCTGGTTCCAGAACATTTTACAACACACTTTTTTAAAAACAATATAAATAAATACTATACAATAGCAACAGCAACTTTAGAATACTGTTTGCAAAAACAAGACTCTCAAAGTTCTCAATTACATATCGTGATCTCTATTTATTTAACAAATTAGTTTCCAGAAACGAATCACTATTAAACCTAAACAACAAACACTCTCTGAAAATAAAGCTTAAATCTACAATAATCAAATTAAACAACTTTAAGGAATTTTTTTTAGATATTATTTGAAAATAATAATACTAATAACAAGGTATATATGTACAACATACATATATACCACGTATGCAACTGATTTTTATGTGTATTACACGTCCAGAAAAAGGTAATGACAAGACTGCTTAAGTCTTCTGCGAGCTTCCTATAACTACTAACAACTAATTCTTCTTATCAATCTTACACAAATTTCGTTTTTATCATATTTATACACAAATATTAGTTTGAAATGTGGTAAATAAACTTATAGTACACGTTTACTAGGAGCTGGTAGTTACCGTTTGCATTGAGAATATGAATTTTGTTTCTTAATCAACAGCAGCAATGTGCGCGGATATCGGTGCGTAGTTTGCTCGGAATCAGATAAGCCGAGGCTGTAGCGGCAAAGTAGGCAAGTTGTCAAGGCCTAAAACAGTGATTTGAATTTTAATGAAGCAGTGTGCTTAACCCATTAGAGTGTTGCCGAGAAAGTCACCTTGGCCGATGAAGATAGCATGATCTGGTTAATTTTTATGATTAGATAGAGTGTGCTTGTGGACTCGAAGTGTTGACTTCTACGGTACCTTGGGAATGTGACAAGCTGAGTTAAGTAACATTCATCAAGGCACTTTTGGAACCTGATTTTGCCTTGACGCTCATTTCTCACGTAAGCAATTGTTGCAATGCCACTGCTAACTTTGATAAAGATTCATAAGATGTATTGCTAAAATTGAAATTGCCATTTATTGTCATGCAGTTTATATTAGACAGTATCTACCGATTATTTTTTACCCAATTATTTTTTTACCAGATTTGCTCAATTTATATTGAGTTGAGCTGAGTAGAATTAACTTCGTTAACACTGATATTGCTTTTTGTGTAAATGGCAACTCCACCACCTCTATTGTCTCTGTCTTTGCAATGTGGTTGGCAGCCGGTTATAGCAACATCTGATAAATCTGTCATTCACAAAAATATGACGTGCAGCCAACTAGATTTAGGCAGAGCAGATAGTCTGTTTGACAGCTCTTGGCGTTTGTCATTATTGAGAGAGCATGGATTTTTTTTCCAGTAGCGTAAATGGCTAAGTGGAACGGTGGGGGTGTTGGGCTAGATCGGTTTTATTTTTCTTTTGTTATCGGTCTAGGACGTCTAGTTGGCAGGAGGATTCATGAGTTTGGAGCGGCTGTGCGACTTGCGTAGTCAATCAGGGCTTTGGCTGGGGATGCAAACATGTAACACAAATTGGATGTTGATTCGATGATATTGATGCAACTGCAATCTGTCCTTCGATACAACCTGTCCTTCAATCTAGAACATTCCTAAACGGATTATCAGAGAATGTTAGCAGCGGCGAGTTTGTCGTTTAGCTTCTTGAGCTGGATGCGTGTATTGTTGAACTCGGTTTCTTGCTCCGGCATTCTGTCTTCGCGTACGTAGACACCCTTGTATGTCTTTTGTTT